TTTTCCCTCCAATCTTTCCATCTTGGTTTTGGTTTAGCTACATCATACTGTCTATCTATGCTAAAAAACTACGCCTAGCACATGTTGTTGCTTTACTTTTATGATTTACTTTAGACGTGTTTCTCTTCTGTCTTGATGGCAAATCACTATTTATTATACACTGCTCGACATTGAAATTGCAACACCAAGAAGGAGTGGTCAGAAATTTATGCAAATTTTAGAGTAGACTCACGTCACTGAGCTATGCGAATGATGTGAAATGCTCAGCTCTCCGACGCACTTGAAGTAAGATTAAGGGAAGTAACGTGCAGAATGGGCAATATTCGTGTCGTTATTTTTGCCAGACGAATTATCGAAGAAAGTTGGTTTTTGTCTCGGAGGATACGTATAATAGGAGAGAATGCCAGGCCGCCGTCAATGAAGGCACTTCCAGCAGATAGACGATTTTACGAGGGGTATGGTGATCAGACTGTGAAGGGGGTTGGGTCTTATGTCAAATCGCAGCTGATACCCACGTGGATGCGAGCACGATGCATCGGCTATGGCAAACATGGTTGGAACAAGGAAATGTGGGAAGGAGGGGTGCAGGTGCAGACAGAGTGACGTCAGCACGTGTGGATCAACGCATCCGCCGACAAGCTGTGGCGGTCTCTCAAGTCACTTGTACTGCGATTCTGCAGCATGTGCAAGATACCCTGGATGTTCCCGTGTTGATCAGAACCATTTCCCATCGATTGGTTGAACGTGGCCTGCACTCACGGCATCCGTTAAGAAGACTGCCGTTGACGCCAATGTTTATAATGGCACAGCATAGACGCCAACGTTTAGAATGGTGCTGGACTGGAGCGATGTGGATGACAGAATGGCAAAGTGTCGTGTTCTCAGATGAGTCATGCTTCTGTTTATCCAGTGACAGTTGCCACATACGTGTGGCGTCGATGTGAAGACAGATCTGATCCGGCAGTAACTGTTGAACGCCCCCACTGTGCAACAACGTTTCATAATGGTTTGGGGCGCTATTGCCTACGATTCCAGGTCACCTCTAGTTCGTATTCAGGGCACAATGACGGCCCAACAATACTTGGATAATGTACTGTGGCCGGTGGCAATCCCCTACCTTCAAGAGATGCCTAATACAATTTTGCAGCAGGCTAACGCCCAACCACACAGTGCTTGCATCTGCCAACATGCTCTGCAAGGTATACATATGCTTCCCTGGCCACCATACTCTCCTGACCTGTCACCAGTTGAACATGTGTGGGATGTGATTGGACGCCGTTTGCAGACTCTGCCCTGCCTCTTTTAGAAGATGAACTGTGGCAAATAGTTGAAAGGCAATGGAGAGACATCCCTCAGGACACCATCCGCACTCTTATTGACTATGCCTAGACGTGTTTCCCCGTGCATCGCTGTCCGTGGTGGTCCTACATCCTACTGAGCCGACGTTCTCGCTCTGTATTCTGACTATCATTTTGATATAAAGATCACTTATTGCTGCTTGCTGTCTCTGTCATTTTTCCAAATTTCATCACTTTCTGATCACTCTTTCTTGGTGTTGCATTTTCAATGTCAAGCAATGTATTTTACTTTCATCACCGTATGTTTATCAACACATGACAACTTGAGTAATGGCTCATGCATTGATGCCAAAATTTTTTATATTAGTAATTGAATGACAAAGAGTATGGTAACCTTTTATGTTAACATTATGCTTGGCAATAATTGCAGATTTAAGCTAAAATGTGCTAAGAAATGTTGACGAAAAAATATAACAAAAGTTTCTTTCTATATGCTAAAAGAGATTTTGTTAATGATACTCATAGGCCAAAAGATTACATTTAGTGGTATTTGAATTAAGAAGAATAACTGATTTGTTATTCACATAAACCGAAAACTGTCACCAGAGCTCGTATGGCCGTTCCATGTGGCAAAATTACGGAAGACAAAATCTTTGGAATTTAGAGAAGCAACGAAATTAAGGGATGACAAAACGTTTAGAATTTAGGGAAAACACTGAGACCCAAAGTTTAAGGGTGGCATAAATTTGAACTTATGAGGTGCTTTGTAGCAGAATTTATGACTTCATCAGGCAGTAAGCTATCTAGCGCTGCCCTCAAGTACATGTGGAAATTTATTTATTCAGGACTCAGATAAGCCTTAAGCATGTGAAAGAAATAGACGTAAGTATAATAAATAACTAAACTAATACAATTCAGGCTTAAATGTCTCTGCGCACGATAGAAGCAAGACAAAATTTAGCAGAACAACTTGTCTTTCGTCACCAATCTCGTGATACATAGCCAATAATGTATAGCAGACGCTATTAAGCTAGGCTAAAATTCTACTTTACTGATTTCAAGGAATTTCAGTTAATGTAGCAGATTGCACTGTTCCTTAATTTCCTGATTTGATCCAGCTTATTATTTTTTGCAGGCTGTTATTCTTACAGCAGTTTTATTAACCCCTTAACTGCCGCGGGCATATATATACGCCTTGCTCAGCCAATGCGTTAACTGCCCCCCAGATGCGCAGCTGATGCGTTAACTTTGCGAATAATTTTAGGTGTAGCAGCGCAAAGCAAATGATAGCGGTTTGGAAGGACGTATATATACGCCTGGGGCAGTAACGCATCGGCTGAGCAAGGCATATATATACGCCCGCGGCAGTTAAGGAGTTAAAAGTAAAGTTTGAAATTCCGATTATGTCGAAGAGTTTCTAATTCTGCACCTGTAACAGAATCTACAAAGCAAAAGCATGTTTCTATGTCCATTCGACAAAAAATGGAATTGCTGCAAAAAAAAAGGTAAAGGTATATCCATCTCAAAATTATGCGAGGAATAGGCATTGGAAAGTCAACTGTATATGACATAAAAAAACGGAAAAAGGGACGTTTTAATGTTTTTGGCATTCCAACACCCCACTTGCAATGAATACCAAAAAAAAAAATTATTCATTAAGCTCAAAGTGATGATTGAATGGGTCAGACAGCGTCACAGCGAAGGCGTGCCATTGATGGGTCCAATGCTAATGACTCAAGCCAAACTATTTTATCAAGAAATGAATTTAAAAGCGGAGTGCACATATTTAACAAGTTGGTTAACCAAGTTTAAAAATCGCCATGGTATAAGACAATTAAAAATTTCAGCTGAAAATGCATCAGCTGACATTGAAGCTGCTGAATTATTTCCAGATGAATTCGTTGAACTCATTAATAGCAAAAAGTTATCTCCAGAAGAAATTTCAGCTGATGAAACTAGTCTTTTCTGGCAATATGTGCCACGGCAACCTCTACAGAAAAGGCTCCGACTAGTGTCAAAGATTCCAAAGCGAGAGTAAGGATTTTAGCATGTGCAAATGCTGCAGAATTCACAAGTGTAAACTTTTCGTAATGAGAAAAAATAACTGACCTTGGGGATTTAAAGGAGTAAAGATTTTCCCCATTATATATCTTGCAGAAAAACCAGCATGATGAAACATAAAAATGAGTTAAATGAAACATAAAAAGTGTTAATGAATGATTGGTTTCAAAATCACTTCATACCCGAGGCTTAGCAGCATTTGAATTCGGTTGGTTTACCTGATGACACAAAAATTGTCCTGATTTTAGATCATATACTTCACTTACAGTTAAGTGAAAGATAATATATCCATGTTATTCTTTCCTCCAAATTGTACGTCCATCATTTCAGCCAGTGGTATGCAATGCAATGTAATCAAATGCAAGTATAAAGTAGCATTTTTAAAATCTATGTTAAATTTCTTGAATAATGGCAAGACTATTCAAAAGTTTTTGAAAGAATAAAATCTGCTGTGCGGAGTATCGCAAGATCGTAGGAGGATGTGTCTCCAGATACTTTAAAAATTGCTTGACATAATTTATGGTCAAGTACCATATTTCATGGTGTGGATAACGAAGATGATAGCCATGAATTAGCCAGAATTCTCAACACAGTTGCAGGACTTGAACAATGGAATTGTAACTGAACTAGAAATTTTGTCTGTTTACAGAATTAAGAGAAAGTATTGGCACAGAAAAATGAAGCAACTTAAAGAATGTTAATTTTGATACCTTTTAAATCATAAATGCTTCATTATTTCATATATCATGATTTCATATTTTTAATTTTATGATATCTACATGCCATCCTACTAGATTTAAACTGATGATCTAATATTCAGAAAAATCCCAAATCCAGGATTGCCAAAGTCCCGACGAGTCAGACTTTGTACTGTATAAGAGCAAATAATTGAGGGTTATAAATGCAATATATTCTTGAGAACATACATGAGTTCAATTTTTATGTAGATTTGGATCTCTGATTAAAAACATAGATTTGGTTATGATGATATAACATTTCATGCAGTTACCTAAATACATAGTAATTTTGCAGTAATAATGTGTACAGGAAATTATTTTAAAAATGAAATTGTGCAAAAAACTTCTGATAGCTTGGCTAACCATGTGTACTATTTAGTGTTTTAGTTAGTAACCTAAGAAAGGAAATTGATGTGTGGTTGTTAATGGACACTTTCTGAGAAAAGAGCACACAGATATCAAAAAGTGACTTTGCTATCAGTAGATTGGAAAATAACCCTAAAGAATAGTATACAGGATGAAAATGCAGGTAGCAATTCAGAACGTAATTTTTATGTTGAATTTTCAGAATGAAGTAATAATGAATGTACCAATAAATAAGCAAAATTGTTACTGACAAGCTGAATTGTATTTAAAGGAAGTAAAAGTTTTTTCCCTGTTAATTGTACTGGAATGAAAGTGTGCAGCTTACCCTAAAGCATCTTGGAATCTAAGAAATATGGTGGTATGATTAAATCTCATAAGGTATGAGATGCTATCTATCATACCTGTTAAAAAAATAAAACAAAATTGGGGAGGTTGCTTGATTTTTTAGTTGCATAGTAATTGAAAAATTTAAGCTATAGTGTAGTAAACTGTATTTTTTTCTGGTGTATAATGCATTATTTAATTTATAAAATTCTAGGTATACAAATTTTCCTGCTTCAGTCGATAACTGCTTTGGAAGAATGTTTCCAAATGAGAAAAAGAAGAGAAAGAGAATATCAGCATTTACTAGTACTACACATGGTATGATATTTCTGAAAGTTGCATGAAATTTTATTAATCTAGATTTTGTACTTGAAAAACTGTCTTGCGAGGAATTAAATTTGAATCTACAAAAAAATGTGTGTAGCAACAAAATTATTTATGGGAAAATACTTAGTGCTATTCTAATGGCCCAATCAGCATTTCGTTCCATGATCCAGATCAAACAGTTATTAATTATAAATGCAAGATAATTACACATTAGTAAATCGCAAAGGAATATCATTGAATGACACTGAAATAGAAATAAGTACAGCCTTGATTTATAGTAATTTATTTTTTAACTGACTCCTCAATGAGGTCATTTAATTTGATTTTCTGAAATTGTGAAGTCCCAAAAAATTTTAAACTTTAAATATCTTCTCTAATAAAACATAATAAATATCTTGTCTAAAAATTTATCTAATAAAAATTATTTTTTCTTTCAGAAGTCAGATTTTTTGTATTTCATGTTTTATGATGAGTTTCATATTTTTGTAAAGGGCAAGAGGAATGAATTAAAATTTCGATTCTGTAATTTTTATGAAATTATTTTTAGAATTTTAGCAAAAGCATGAATGTTTGAATCATTTAAAATATTTGTGTAATTCAAAGTATATACCTATGGTAGCAGTTACAAATAAAATAATGGGTAATGAATTTTGGCCACATGATACATAATTGTATACTGTGACGAATTCGAAAGACAAGAGGTAGCGTAACTGGTTTTATTTCTGTTTTTTCTAGGCTATATGGAAAAAATAAATAAATAAAATAAACTTATAAAATATTGATCTCACAGTAGGGTGAATAAGTTCCTGTTTAGATGAAAGTTCTTGTTTGGAAAGTTCAAGACGAGGGTAGGCTCAAGATGAGGCTGTCTTGAATAAATCGAGCCTCTAAACCAGTGGTTGCCGGACTGAGCTGTGTCCGAGTAGGATGCTCTTTGTAAGGTAGCGGTGAACCCGGCTACCTCGCTGTAAATCTCATGACCGAGATATTAGTATCACTCTACGCAGAGCAAAAAAAAATTTGCTCGTGGCCGAGCTATAAACCCGAGAGAAGGAATACTCTCTATTTACTGCAACTAACTCTCATTTTTTTCTCTCTCTGGAAACGCGTTCCATGATTTTGTTCAAGTTCTCCTGGGCGTGTCGGAAAAACTTCTAGGATCCTTATTTGTCCTTAATTTTTAGAAGTGCCTCTTGATTGGCGAGAGCACTTTGATTAAAAACTGGATATGATTAAGACAGCCTGGGAAAAAGTCAGTGGGAACTTTTTGATTCCAACTGGGTTTCTCAAACGGGTGTCCTGAGACACTGAACCTATAAACTGATGAAAGGGAACTGAACAATGTTTCCTTTCAAACAAATAAAAGAGGAACATAAAGCTGAGATTGTTTTGTGACTGCTAGTCACTTCCTCTTTCCTAGAATTCGCTAAGAAATACTCTGTCCGTGGGAATTTTCGAGGTGGTCATTCCTTTTCTGAGAACTTCGTGAGGGTCGATAAAATAGCTTAATACGTTACAATACTGTAATTTTGTTATGAAATGTCAGTCGGCAAAGTCTGGCAACACACATAACAGGCATGATCCTTACATTATGTCATAGTGATCTGTCAACTGGAATTTCGGTTTAGGATGCCGTTGGATTTTACTTTGCCACCCACCTAATATGCATTGCTGGCACACTCAACAGCCGCCACCACATCTCTGAGCTTCCGGAACTAGTCACTCTTCCCCACTTTCAAGGTTTGCCTGTGACCTTGTGATTTTAAAAAGATAATGTTTTTATAAAATGTGGTATGCAGCATTCAAAAATTCTTCACTGCCCACCAAGCTGTAGTGTTGTCTTGACCTGCCCGTGCTTCCAATATGCAGCCCATTGAACATGGCTTTTCAATGATTGGCGAGTGAGTGGCCCAGCATCCACTAGCCATGGCTGCATTAGATAAACTTTATCAATATATGGGAATGACAGGGACTGATATAGTCCAAGCACACATCCTGAGATTTTCTTTCAGTGACAGATTGTGTCAGAGCTGTTATATTGCCGTTTGTGGTGACTACGCAAATTACTGTTTTTCATATTCGGCAAGTCTAGTGAGGCCTGTAACTGTAATCAGTTCACAGTTATATGTTTATTTTTCCAGTAAATATGGCTTTGCTATCTGTTGTTCTTCATGCGTCGCATTTTAGATGATCAGCACTATGTATCAGAACTTAAAAGAAGACAAATTATTCGTGCTTATGTGGTTGGTTTATCTGTTACTAAAGCCGCAAATCTTTTTGATATAATCAAAGCCATATCCAAGGTCTTGCTTATATAGAAAAAGAAAGAATTTCATCCATTCGGAGTAATTACTGAAGGTAAGAGAAAGTTATCTGAAAAGAATCTTAAGTTACCAGTGTTAAGGTGAATTGTAACCAAGAAAACATGAAACAAGATGTATTCAAATTATGGTAGAACTAAATATTCCCTTGAAGTCACTGCCCACCCCCCGCAAAAAAAGTGTCTGTTGAGATCTGTACAGAGCTAATATGAGTAGCTATTGCAAAACCTTTGATAACCAGTCTCCATGCTAAACACTGAATTTTTAGTATTGTCAGAAGAGTTAAGCTTGAATACTACATAGTATAAACGTTTATTGTTCATTCATAAGTCCATATTCATTCTTTTTTTGCTTCTAGGATATTTTTTGTGCAGAAAAGACAGTCCAGATTATGTGCATCAAAAAACTTTTAACTAAAACAGACTTTGTAAAACTGAATTTTGGTTTATTTTCAAAGCTATAATTATTGCTTCTCAAACTACTGGTAATAATAACAAGTATCCTCCTTTTCCATTTAAAAAAAAATGTTATATGAAACTTCAGGGCCTCCTCCATAATTCTTAGATATGGATGGTGTTAAAAATGAAATAATTCCTCTCTTTGAGTGCATTAAAAATTTATATTTGAAGTTTTTTAAAAACTCCACAAAGGTTTTTTTTTTATTTTATTTTTATTTATTTTTTATTTTTTTTTATTTACATGCATTTTTGTTAAATGGTCTTGCATTTCTAAAGGTTTCATTGCATCATATTAAATGTTTTTTCATAAATATAATGTTGTGTTTCTTAAAGATGAAATAAAGACAAGCATTAAGCATTCTTGCTAATATCGGTAAATATAACATTTGCATTTTTCATGTGGCATCGGTAATATCTGAGAACCGATAAAGTTCAAACTCTAAAAATGGAAGTATTGAGTTACGCTTATTATAATGGCATGCAAGTTCGTATAGCTAGGTCAACAGCTACAAATTCAATGTGAATGTGGCTTATATTGCTTTTCTGTGCTCATTGGTTTCTCTTCTATTGTGCACTTTTGTTGGCAGCAGTTTCCACAATGAACATGGTAACATGGTGCAGACGTTTACATAATGATAATTTCCATTTGACCATAGCTTATATTAACAAGTTTAAATAAGTAACATGGATATTTTGCTGTGGTTCATTAATTTTGCATTTTTCATATTTCTTTTCCTTTTCTCTTTCTCTCTTGTTTTCTTGTGTTCCTGCATTTTTCTTCTTTGTGCAACACTTGTTGCAAAATTTATGTGTTTAAAAAAGTAGATTTTAAAAATATGTTAAATAATTTTAGTATATTTTCCCCTATTTTTTTGTTATATAATTTCTTTTTTATAACATGATATAGCTTTATACCAATAAAAAGTTAATTATCAATTTTCTTTATTTTTCTAACCATTTGCTGGTCCTTTTTCGGCTGTTGACCCCCTTGATCCTCTCTAATCACCTGTAAAATTTCATCAGTCTCCAGGTGTCAGTATCGAACCCATTGAGAAATCTTGGTCTAGGATGTTATTCAAAATGTGGGAAGAATACCAATTGGTCCATCTTTTTATTTATAGAATTGCAACATTTACATATGAATTCTGCAAAGAAAAAACTTGCAATATAATAGTTTGTATTTGTGTGGGTAAAACAAGTGCAAATAAGCTGGTAGCTATCATTATAGTTTTGTTAGTTTAGTGAAAATTATAGAATAACTGGAAAAAGGTGCCAGCAAAAGTGTTGTCAGTGTTTTTGCTAATGCAAATTCTTTCTATGTATGCAGGTTCAGTTTTCTGAAATGCTTTGAAGGTCTATATGAATTTGCTTTAGTGAGGTAAAGGTCTAATGTAATATAGGTGGAATTCTAAGAGCTAATGAATTAAGCTGAAGTATGTTATTTATGTGCTGCAGCTCTTGTAAAAAAGTGTCACATACTAAAATAAACTAATTTATTTTGTGTATTCAAAACATTTTTTTTTAATACTGTGTATCTCTAAAAACATAAACATATTGGTTATAACAAATAATTTATCATTCCAATTTTAGGAGGTTATTCAGCTGTAGATTGATTACTCATATTATCAGTAAATGACATCACAATAGCAAAAGCATCGGCATCGTATTTTACTCTACAATTCTTTGCTTTGAATTTGCCATTATAATCGTATAAATTGTTGAAATAACTGTGGTGACTCTAAGTGAACTCGTGTTTACTTGCCAGCTGCATGCCTGTATCTAACTGAACAACAAGTGGGCAAAAGAAGCTTCACATTTCATGGTTACCACAGTTGGTCAGGTTTTCCTGCAACATAGTTATCATCTGTGTTAATTTAATTGTAATAGTTATGTTATAATTAAAAGTTTTATATAAAATTAAGCTATTGCTTCAGGTGTCTACTTTCATCATACGAAAGTCTTGGCATGCCTTACATGTATAAATTGTAGCACCCAGAGCAGCAGCATGCAACAAATGGTAACCTGTGCACATCCTTAATCGAAATGAATCAAAGAAATGTACGGTGTAGAGAATTTTTTCTATAAGTGTCTTGTGATAATGTGTGAAATACATGTCAACCTATATATTTGTTTTATTATGCGGATTGGATTACTTTAATGCATTCGTCAGTGATCATGGTCAAGCAATGTGCGAGTGGATTATTTTTTTTGC